AAAAAAAAAAACCAGAATTAAAAGTAATATTGCTTTGCAATCTAATTCTCAAATGCAATAATTACCATTTATTTAGGGAAAAAAGTTTACTGGCACATATTAAATGTTTTAAATGTACATATTTAATTTAGTGAAACATATTGTAACAATCACAAGCTTTAAGCAAAAGAAAGACATTCAAAGAAAACTTATTTCTCTTTTTGCCATGATTTCATTTTTTCTTAGTGTTATTCAGATTCTCTTATTTCACTTACAACTAATTATCCACTCTTTCAATATCTTCTTTTCTTAAACCTAATAATACATATAATGAACATAGATGATGACATTGAAAAGAGATAGTGCATGTCAGCTCTTTCTCAAGTTGTACACTGTAGACCAATTGTCCTTGAAGGGGCTTCTTCTAATTAATTACCATCTCTTTTTGTAGAGCAATCACATTGGCAAGAATTGATTGGGCGTGAAGATACTTCATTCAGTTGGTAAAAAATTATCTTAATTAAAATAATTTTACTGCTGGTAAAATTAATGCACCCATGCAAACTTACCAGCTTGATTTTAATGTTCTTCCTCAATTATATTTTATGAGAAAAAAAAAGGAAATAAGACCTTAGCAACAACCAGAAAAAAAAAATGAGAATTACATAAAATACATAATTCTATTTACAACTTTTTTCACTTATCCTAAAATCTGCTTGTTTTTAAAACACGACTGAAAGAAGTTGCATTGTTGAATCTTTGTCCTAACATTAAAAAATCGGGGTGGCTCTACTTAAATATTTGTCGACTGTTGGGCTGTATCACACTGGCTTCTTAGCTTGGACAGCTGTGTCATTTAGAATCTCAAGTGTGGAGGTCACATAATTCTTATTTTTGTAATAATTAGCTTAATGAATTTATGTTCATTAAGTTCTGAACATAGATTCAAGTAGGCATAATGATTAAATATGCTTATATTACTTTGAAGATAATTGCTGAAAGCTGATTTATCTATGAGCAATTTTGACTTCATATTACTCCCACATCATAGAAAATATATTTGTTATACTACTTTCATTCATAAAATTAACTGTATTTGCTTAGAGATAATGTATCCATGAGCAATTTGATTTCCTATTCCTCTCTTATTTTTCCTAAAAAAACACATTTGCTATTTTGTTGTAAACATGTTTCTTTTTAGCAATTTTTCATTCTCAAAGAATTGTAATGTTTAAAATTAAGTAAATGTATCCATGCATTATTTCTACTTTGAGACAAGGGGAAATCAAGCATACAAATTACGCTGGCTGAAGCTGGTGAACTAATTTGGCTGGTAACAGTAGATTATGTTTCTCAATTTGCACATTAAAACATTTGGGGAGCCTTTAAAATTTCCTATGTCTATGTCACGACAATTCCAGTTTGATTGTTCTCTAGGGGAAGTAGAGTAATAAGTATCATTTAAAAGCTCTGACCTAACACAATCCCTAAATAGCCCTGAGATCAGACATTTCAGGTAACTTCTCTAACCACAGTTGTTCTTGTTTGTTTTGTTTGAGTCATTTGTAAAATAGTAATTATTTGTAACACAGTCTCTGAAGTTCCTTTTATCATCACTAACAATATAATCAACAAGCCATTGCTCTCTTCTACCAAGTTTGGTCTTGAGTGTGATTTGCTTAATGAACCGATAACTATTTCTGTCATTAGGGGTTGTTAACTCTCCAGAATACCATCTTGTGTGCATGATGAAATAAATTATCGTCCTCTGTTTAAAAGACTAATTGTTAGTTTACTTCAACACTGTTTTAATGTACTAGTAGTAATAAGTGCAGCTGCTGTCAGTCGAATAAAACAAGCCATTAGTTGAGAACAGACATATCAAATCTACTAATGTGCTGACTGTTGATAAACTATAATGCCAAACTGTCATTGACAGAGGAAATGTTCCTTAAAAGAATTAACTGGAGTACCATACAGTTTTAAGAATGTAAACTAATTTGCATAAGCTAAGTCAAATAGTATTCAAAGTATAATCAGAAAAACAGAAAATTATGCACATCAAAATATATTTTGAAATGGAAACTGCCAGAGTATAAAACAATTAAAAACATATTTAATAAAATATGTGTTGGAATTATTTCATTTCTAGTGTTAAAGCCAGAAAACTAGGATTCTTATTGACGCCTCTATCACTTGCTCTCTGTATACAATTTATACGTAAGAATTTTCATTTATTTTAAGTTCTTATTACCTCACAATATGACTACCATAGATTCACTACCATCTTTACCCTCTCCAATCTATTTCTTCACTTTATCTTCTTTTTTAATTTTTCAAACTCTACTGTGATATCTTATTCCTTTTAAACAAAAATCATTATTTAACTCAATATTTTAGTTCTGGCATTGCCCTCTCCCCAAGTCTTATTTTTACTCTTGTTCTCAGAGTTTCAGCAGGGCCTTCGAGGGATCATCTCCTCTAATGATGTGTTTTTGTTTTCTGTTTTTTTTTTTAAGCCACTTTATTGGGGATATGATTGACATACAAAAAGTTATAGATGTTGAATATATATAACTTGATGTATATGGAGATGAGTATACATCCACGAAATAATAGTCGGTCATTGTTATAAACTTATCTCTCACTTCCAAAAATTTCCCATCCCCTATGTTTTGTTTTTATTTTTCCCCTTTGTGGTAAGAGCATTTAACATAAGACCTACTCATTTAGCAAATTTTAAAATATACAATACAGTATTGCTAATCATAGACCTTGCTTTATACAACAGATTTCCAAAACTTATTTATCTTCCATAACTGAAACTTTATACCTTTTGAAATACAGTGTTTTTAAAAGTGTAATTCCCTCAATCTAATTCCCTCACTTCTGCAACTCCTCTGTCCTGGCTTCATTCACATCTTTGTTCAAGGGTCTTTTTATCATGGAAATTTATCTGACCTCCCAAATTACTCTCCCAATGGCCCGTATTTTACTTCTTTGGTTATAATCATTCATGAGAAGGTATTTCTTTCTGTAAAAGCATTTTATTTCAATTAACGATTACATATTTATCACTGTGAGTATTTGTCCAATAACTCTCATTCAAAAAAATAATCTATGAGAACAAGGAATAGCTTTAGTTTTCTTTACAATTATATATCTTGAGCCAATCAAATTCATGAAATGTAGTAGGTTCTAAGGAGATGTCTGTTAAAGGAACAAAGCAAATAATAAGAATATAAAATTCATTTTTCTTTATTCGATGTTTCGATATATAAAATTTTTATGTAATTAGAAAATACTTACCTAGCAAATGTTGAAATGATTCGGGCAAATAAAAATTAAAAATATACATATTTTATTACCTGTAAATTCCAATTCCCACATACATTTAAATTGGGAAGGATGAGGAAGTTCAGCTTGGCAAATATTATGGCTGATGGATCCACAGTAGCAAGGGTACAGAAGAATTAAGCAATCATTCCTTAGAAACCAACATAAATTTCTTGTGTACCCTGGAGTACATATATACTAGAAAAATGAAGCAATAAAACAATGATAAGTATCTTACTGAAATGTTTCAGTATATATTTTGGCTTATAAAATGCACAGCTAATTTCTAAAAATATCAATTTTTAAGAAAATTCTATGGAACGCACCTTTTATCAAATGCTTTGTGTATTCTTTCTATTCTTTTAACTTCTCTGTTTGAACCATCTTTCATCATGTTCATGTTTAAAATGTCTATATAATGTATTTTTGGCTTTGATTCATTTCTCAATCTATACCTGTAGTCTACAATCTTCTGTTTGTTGGGCTATAATTATTTTTTAATTAAAAGTATAGTATAAAGTAATAGACACACTATTTAAAACACATGTGACCCAATAGGATTAACACAATGAAATGCTAAGGTATTGTTTGAATGTGTTGAGCCTTTAAAATTTAAATAATATGAAAATATGTTAATATAATCAAACTTTTTCTAATAAATGATCTATCTGTGGTAACCCCTAGTATCTTCAATGGCAGAATTCATAACTCATTATATCCACAATGAAATTATTACACTTAAACAATTTCAGGTCATATCATATTGAGCTAACATTAAGTTTTAGCACATGCTATTTTAATGAGGCCTTATGATGATATAAACCAATAAGATAAATTTAAGCCCTGGAGACAGACTAGGTCTTTATATTCTGTTTAGAGCATACCCTACAATTATTTCTACTTCTCTGAGTTTCCAATGAGCAAATTCCCCATGAATTGGCAGAAGGAAGCAAAGGTGAGTCATGGGGAACAAGGAATCACTAACATCTGACAGTTCCTTTAATGCAATTACTACATTAAGTAAACTTTGTTTTAATTGTTTCAAGTCATAATGACCTTCTACCTGCACTTGCAATACAATTTCTTAATGGCTAGACAAAGTATGACTCTTAAAGTATGAGTCTCTATATTAATAAATGGCCACAAATCTAATTGGAATCGACATTAAAGATTAAAATAATCTAAAAAATCATAATTTAATTACATTGAATGGCTATCAAAATAATACAATTTTATAATAAATTTCTAAGTCTTGACATCACCAAAAGCTTGACTCCATAACTTTATACCAAGACATAGAATTTTGACTCTTCAAACAGCATTAGCTAACCTTCACTGTCAGTGAATATTGTGTCTTACTGACTTATGATCTTCACTGAGATTTTCATTGCATTTGAATTTATGACTGCACACAATAAACTTAACAAAAAAGCATATTATTTATATTTACAGAACCTGTAGTCGTCTCTTTGCTTCAAAGAAAACAAAACAAAAAGACTGATAAATCTCAGCTTAAATTAAGCCATCTCTTAGGGGGTTTTGTTTGTTTTGTTTTGTTGTTTTAGTGTGTGTGTGTGTGTGTGTGTGTGTGTGTGTGTGTGTGTGTGTGTGTGTGTTTTAAAATGAGAAAATCAGAGGCAGATGAACAAAAGTTATACAATGTCTGGCATAGTCAGGAGTGAGGAATCCATTAAAAAAATAAGATTTCACATCTTCTGTAATTTGGGGAAGATGGGCCAGTAAGGAGTAGTTGCAAACTAATGATGATAAATGTCAAACAAAATGATAGGAATAACATAGATCCCTGCTTACAGTGGTGCTATGGTGCTCATCTTGCTAGCCTGAATATTACTTGGAGACAAAATAGGGCTCTGACTTTTTCTGAATAAAAGAATCCAAAGTCTCTCACAGTAGATTTCAAGGGAAGTCAGAGGAATTTATTATTAGACCCCTTTATCCTAAATGAGAACACTTTGAAGATAACCAGACTTTAGATAAAGTTTGAATTTATATGGGGTTATTTGGAATAAGAAATTGGAGCTCTTATAATCATTTATAAATTATTGCAATACCAATAAAATGCCATCTAATTTAACCTGAGCATTAAGAGCAATGTATTTCATTAGACCATATGCAGAGGTTAGGAAGTATCATGACATAGATTTATTTCTGAATCCAACCTCTCATTCATGACTTGTGTGTTCATGTGAGAATTCATATCTATATACACACACACACCACAGCAAAAATATAAAAATCGATGTACTATATAAACTTTAAAGCAAGTTAACAGAACATGAATAAAGAAAGTAAGATGGATGCGTAAAGGCTTTTGAACAAGTAAATTAAACTTCATCTCTAAATATCTCTGAGTTTTCTAGCAGCCAAGAAAAAAGGGAAATCATGAAAATAAGGCCTAATTCTTCTTAGTGATTAGTTTTATTTTGGTGGATTCATTCTAGTTTATTGGGAGGACCATATTTCCAAACAATCTTTCTAAAAGATAATTTTCATATGGTAGAAGATATTAAACCATTGATAATCATATAATGATCATTTTGCTGAAAATTATTTATTAAATTGACCACAAATTCATAGAGTTTTCTCTGAATAGTGGTACTTTATATTCAAGTAAGATGATTTTCAATAAATTAAATTCTCTCTGAGTATATATTTCAAAAACACTGCTAATGAAGGAAAAGCAGTCATCGTGAATTCAGGGGGACATGGTGACTAATATACTACTCACTGCCTGTTAAAACACAATTTTCTTACTTCTTATAAACTTAAATAAAAAGACAATTAATTGACTCAGAATCAATTGTATGGTCAGATTGGTGTTTTTGTGGAATTCAATTATTCTAAAGTGACTTCTATTTTCCAGAGAAGTAAATTTCTAGTAGAATGAATGGTCTTCTATGTCATTGTTATCTAAAGTTCCACAATAACCACAAGTGACATGGTAATATTAACTTTTATTCATCAATTTTATTTGGACCCACAGGGATTAAAAAATATCTATATGGAAATGCTTACTTAGCTATTTGATTTTTTAATCTCTTCAAGTTAATAGTTGGAATTATGTTTTAAAATAACACTTATTTTAATACTACTTCTAATTGAGTTCATGGATTAGATAACAAATTTTAGTTCAAAAATATGTGGAGGTCTGGAAATTGATTTCCACATTCATAAGTTTCAACCTTTATCCATGAAATAGAAATTTAACTCTCTTTATATAAAACAGGTTTGTTTGTTCTGGTACAGTAGATTTAGGATGAGTAGCTCAACCATTTGCTTGGGACTTTATATTTTTAGCATTGAAATTCCTGTGTCCAGGGAAGGAACTCAGTCTTAGGCAAACTGGTCATGTTGTTTTCCCTAAGGAGATTGTATTCAAAGTATTATTTCTGAAAGAAAGGAGTATGAGGAACAGAGCTACAGTTAGTATGTGATGGAAGAGAAAAATTAATCTTCTGTTTTTCTAGGTCTCTGGTGTGTGTGTGTGTGTGTGTGTGTTTACGGAGAGTTAAACTATCTAACACACTTATCAAAAGTTTCCTTCATCTAGATATGAAACTAGACACAGTACTGAAGATTGTTTCAACTTCGCAATATTTATCAACTATATTAAATTGGCTTGTATCTCGTAAAATATATTTCTGTAAGAAAATTAATATTACATTGATTACAGTAAACAATAGTCATTCATAAATTGCTGAGAACATATATTGATAATAAATTATAATCTATATTATACTTAACTGCCCTGTTTATACATATAAATTGAAAACAGCAATCAGCGTTTGCACTAGTGTTTTTTTTTTTTTTTTTTTTTAAGTAAGTATGGTGTCAGAGGGTAGGGATATACAGACATGCATTTAGTAGTGAACATCTATCTTATTGTTGACAGTGAACTAATTAACTTGCACATGTTAGGAAACTAAACTTGAACTGACTTTGAACTTCAATAAGCTCATGAGAGCATAATTTTTGTAAGAAAACAGTGAAATTAAGACAATGATGAACTAATTTCACAATGACAGTAAAAAGAAACAAGAAAATTTAGAAAACTGTCTATAAAAGAAAAGCAATCTATTTCTTATATCACATGTCGCTGTATGTTACATCAGAAAGGATTAAAGTTTGCAGTACCAAAATTTTGTAATTTGACTGATATACAAAAAAATTATAAAAAATTAATTATCCTAACTGATTTAACAGATTATATGCCAAGTGTATTTGATGATGATTTACTTAAGGCTTTTCTTTTTTTTAAAGGGAAACTAATTTTGATTGATAGTATAAAGAAGATTTAAAAACAACTCTAGATATTGATTTCTTATTTTAATAGCCTAATTTCTTAGGCAAGATAATGATGCATTATAGATATTCTTCTTCTCATGCTGTATTAAGCATCTTAAACTACTTCTCAAAGAAACTGTATCCCAAAATCATGGCTTATACCCATCATTGCCACATCTATTTCCTAATGATTCTATTTATGTTCATTTTAAGCATTTACCAGTTTTTAGAAACTATAAGAATATGTAGAAATATTTTTCTTTATATAATGAAGGTACTAAAAATAGGAGTGACATATATCACCTCTATCTCTACCCCCACCATGTGTGTGTGAGATAACATTTTACCATATGTGTAAACTTTACCATTGTTCAAATAGTTCAAAAGCATTGTCTTATTAAATTCATTTCATTTAAATTTTCAACAGCCTGATAGAACAATTCATATTATACTCTATTTCATACTTCAGAGAAGAAAATTATGAGGTTTTTTTTTTTTCCTTTGTGTAAGTTCATATGCCTAATTTTTATAGGGCTAGGATAAAAATCTATATACTTGGGTTTCAAATCCCATCATCTCTTACTTTATTTATGTTTTTCATTTACTCTTAAGCAGAAGTAGTACTGGTGCAAGTGTTAATTGACAGAAAAATAATATTTTCACTAAAATTTAAAGTATAAAATCTTATAAATCTAAAATTTTTTGTTTCTCTAATATCCCCCTCTTTGGATTACCATTTTTTTACTCAACTTATCTTTCTTGATTTAGTACTAATACGATATGAACATGTTATTTATTTGTAAAATATCTTATTTTACCTAGTTGAAAGAAATTTAATAACTTCTAAAAGAGCAGTGATGAATCCACACAGAAAAAATAAATAAATAAAAATA